AGTGCCATGGTGCCCGTAGTGCAGGTGCTATGCTTTTCCGTGGCAAGTAGGTACGATATTCGTATTCAGGGGATCAAACTACCCCTAAAAACGAGTTTTTCGCCAAATCTGAGGTCATGAACTAATTGAGAAAAAGCGGAGCAGTGATGGGATTACCACTCCTCAAACTCCACTTTTTTGGGTTGACCAATCATGGACGACGGGGGAAAGGGGAGAGAAGGTGTTGTATTAGGAAATAATGCTTTGCAGATCTTTGGATGATGCAGACGGGCAAGCCAGACACAATTTTTGTCTATTATGAAAAGTGTTTAAAAGGTTTATTCTACCCAAGTGCCAGCCTTTTGTAATGGATTGGTGGATCGGTGAGTAAGTGACTGCCCAAATTTTCGAGGTTAGGTCAAAATTTCAGAATTCGCTAGAAGTTTGCTCAAAGGGAGAGTCTGGCTCCCTGATTACGAATATCATACTTGTTCGAAGCAAAAATGCCTGGCGCCTGCGCTACAAGCGCCGCCCAAGTTCGTTATTAATTGCCCTTAAATTCTTTTTACTGTTAACTATACGCAAGCATGTTGGACTAGCAATGTTAGGAGTCTTCCTAGCTATCTTACTGCAAACGGCAAAAGAACAAACTCGCCAGGGAGTTGATCCCCTGACCTCTTTTTCGTGAGCCTCGACCACAGCCCCTGCGCTTTTCTGCTTCATAATTCCTTTCAGAGAAGAGTTCAGCAGATAAGGAACACATATTTGAGCTCAGCGTCCCAAGGCGCGTATACACATATACATCTCATTTCAAATGGCCGGGTTGACCAAATGACCTTTCCTGGTAGGACATCAAGTTTTTTAGATTGCGTTCTATATTTCTGCATTTCTACAAAGAGGCAAAGTACCCGAGCAAACCTCTTGAACTTTACGTGGTTGCAGCCATAACGATGCGACATCACAGGAGTATCTTTTAGGAGCCGTGAGCGCAGAGCAAGAGAGCAGCAACCGGGGAGATGATTACACGACCTCAACCCTTTTGGCACGACCTCGACTGACGACACGGCCTCTACTTATTCGCTAGGAAATTGAACCACTAAATCATACGCGGGGCGCCACTTGAGGCTACACCACTTCAACCCAAATTTCACAGTTTCTACGAAATAGAATATTATTCTGCATTGAAAAACGACCTCGAAATGTACTGAAAACGGCTGAAACGTTGTCTATAGAGATGATTACGACGCTGATGGATATGTAATCATTTTTAGCTCTGGTTATAATCGTTTCTAAATGCACACAACGCAAAAATGTATCTTCCGCAATGATCATGTCGCTGAATAGGCTTCACTCTAATAGCAGAACAGTGCCCGCATCGAGTTGACCGTAGGAGTTTTGTACTGGCAATATTTGCGCCATTTATCGCCGTAAAAAATTTCTGTCATGTCCAAGTTTTCCTCGCGGCGGCCGGGGATCAAGTCCTATATCGCTCGTTGTGAAACCCCAAGCCTTGCATCCTTCTGGAGTCGGTGAATTGGTACCAGACTTGCCTGAGTATATAAAACGGGTGTCCCCCAAGAGGCCCATCGCGCGGCGAAGCAAGAGACGCAGATGCGGCAAAGGACGAGTCGCAGCGCGTGCTGTGCGATATGAGACGTAGTATGGTACACTCTATTTAACCTGACGCCTAACCGCTACAGTATGCGCTGCGACTCGTCCTTTGCCGCGTCTGCGTCTCTTCCTTCGCCGCGCGGTGGGCCTCTTGGGGGACACCCATATAAAACACTACAGGGTGGGACATAAATATAGCGATCAGAGTGAACTACAGCAAATGCATTTACTCACAATGAGCAGAGCTCATGACTGACCTTCAGATTCGCCATTGTCTTTTGTATATAATTCTATGGTTTCATGTTTCATGATCTTTATTTGGTGAATGGCACCACTATCAAAACGAATGGGATTTCTAGTCTCACGCGCTGCTGGATCAATTCTTTCCAGATCCGCCGTATCCGCATCGGCAGACCGTCGAACGACTCCCTATCGCAGTGCACACAACGGCCTTTCTCTCCGAGGACGATCGGTTGCGGAAGCCAAAGGGTGGCTGCGAATATGTATAGTCAAAAAACGTATCTATCACCATCTGGTGAGGGCCTTGATAGAGTTGGCTACATTGATGGGACAGATTAGGATAAATGTCGCAAGTTTTGCAGAGGAAACATGGAACACAAATTTATAAACACTATAGACGGCAAGCTCTCATGGATATCAAGTGGGAGAGCGGTTAAAAATATCGAGGGCTTGGGACGCGGGCCGCGAAGGGAGCGCGCATGTGCACCGACGAGAGAACCTCTGGTATTTCTCATGAGCGGTTTGCCTTTACTCGAGGAAACTCAGAAATAATTACTAGAAGTTTCAAAGAAACTAGAAGAGCTAGAATAACGCATATCGAATACAAGCTCCTAGTTCAGCGATGATATGAACATAAGTAGCTACTTCTTTATCTCAATTGGTTTTCGCCTGTGGGCGAGTAGAATTTTGAGCCAAACGTTATCCAAGATAGCATTTTAGAGGAAGCTTGTCATCTTCGCCACTAAAAACGATTAAATTCACTAGCAAGGCGATATCCTCGCTCATGGATTGAATTTTGTGAAAGTCTGCTGCACACCCCATTTGCCGACTTTGAGTTGCATCCGAAACCTCCAGTTTGAATGTAGCGGATTGTTTATTGTGGTCGATATTGAAGAAGTCCGCGAAGGATATGAAGGTATTGAAGATGTGTGCAATTATTTTGCCACCATACACATGCCTCACCCAGTAATGCTGCGCTGCTGGTCTCACTACTTTCAGCTGGGAACCCACTGTATGAGACCGACGTCGACAAGCGACAAGCGATGTCCGTCGCCGAGTGGTGGTCGGTCGTTGAACCAAATCGCATTCGAAATACCACTACTTTTTGAATGTAAAATGTGCGGCGCATCCACTTAAGGCATTGATCTAATGTCGGACAAATGTCGAATGCTTCCATTTACTTTTTTCATTTACTTACTTTTTTTTCATTTTCATTTCATTTACTATCACTTTTGGGGTCTCATCCGGTAAGAGGGGGCATTGCGGTGCACGGTCTGCTCTAATGCCAATTTGGCTCAAGGAGTCCTTTAAAGTTACGAGCTGCTATCAGCTTTTTTCCTATGTTATTTCTTCAGGTGTTTTGTGTGTATGTATGTATCTTGTACTAGATGACATTAACGTCTACGAGAAGTGAAATTCACCTAGTTAGCAGGTCAGGACTAAGCCCAGGAGGGGGGAGGAAGTCCCCCCGGGGAAAGCCAAGATTGCTCACGGATCCGGGGACTCCTTCCCTTCTAGGGCTTAGTCCTGAACGTCTACAATAAAATAATGTGCTTTCCATGGTTTGAAATGCTCTAGATCGCTATGCCCCCCCTTACTGGATGAGACCCCACTTTTGTTCCCCTGCAACCGACAAGACCCCTCTGCCCTGCTCAGGTTTTGAGCCTTCCGCCTTCTTATGAGTTCTACACCTGGCTAAAAAGAATTCAATACTCATAAGATAGACTGGTATGGTAAAGAATCTCGCCGCAACATAGACATGACATTGCCAGAATTCTTTAGCACTAACTTGGCCTCAGCTATTGGTTTATTTTTGCCTTTCTTGTATCCCCTTTCATTTTGGGACGGATACGTCATATGGAATGGCAGAGTGGGTGTTTTTGTAGTAGTTGGAGTTTCTTGCCGTAATAATGACATCATGCTATAGTGAACCCACAGGCGCGAACACATACAATCCGCAAACATTAGCAAAGGGAGCGCTGTGGGGTAATTTGCGCGTAACTTTTGCGTAGGTAGCGTGACTCGGCAGAATCACGATAATGTTGTCAACCACTCTCGGGGCAATTTTGAGCTCCCATCATCGATTTCGTCGTCGCTGCTTCTATCTATACAGTTGTGATTCATTCCAACTGTCTGTGCTTTATCTTTCTTTTGTTTTATTGTTCTTGTCCGTATGGTATCCAACAAACAAGAACGTTATATTAGTAGACGATTTTAACCTTATATTCGAGGAGGAAATCCCAGGGCTGTAATATTTGTAGGGACTCCATTTCATGTAACTAATAAAGTGTACGAAAACGTGGCGATGTGTAACGAATGAGCCACCGTTACCATGGAGCAGAACTTCACTACGAGGAAGTGTTAATGATCGAGATAATAGTGTAACTTGGCTCTCCATTCCAAACAAATCCACTTACTTTATTTCGAGCCTTAGTCGTTCGATTCTGATACTCTCATTCTTGCCCTCAGACATTATAGCTTAGTTGCCACTGACACAAATAGACACTGCTAGTGCTTCTTCGCAACGCACCGCTCTTAGCTCGCGACTTGAGAGATTCGGCGATTGAGCGGTGATGGGCGATGGGCGGTAGGCGTTCCTGTTGAAAGGAATGCATACACATTGTGCACATGAATGCTCTGTCGCCATGATCCCTTGGAGTGGAGCGATTTAATTGTGTCACCTTGCTCTTCACAGCGCAAATGGAAACCGTGGTCAGCGAGATTCCAATACATGCACAGTTGCAGCGGTATGAGCGTAATAAAGATTAAGTTGTTAATATTTCATTATTCAAACATAAATGCGAAATCATATGCAACCATCAATCTTTGATAGTGCCTTGCTGAAATACTTCACTGTTACCTCGGCTCCCCCACTTTCTTCACGATTTGGGGCGCGGCCGCGGCGAGCGCGGACGAGTCGATAGTGCCCGCGAACTGGTGTGGGTTAAATTTGAAAACGCACCACCACACAGTTCGCGGGCACTATCGACTCGGTCCGCGCTCGCCGCGGCCGCGCCCCAAATCGTGAAGAAAGTGGGGGAGCCAATACTTTTGAGCGGTGGATGTTCTAGCTTTCTCGAAGATTTCTCTCATTTTTCTCTTGCGTTTTCGCTACTGACCGGATCTGTTGTGGTGGTGTGTGTTATTTATTATTTGAATTTTTGGAGGTTATGGGGCATCGCAAAGATCGTAAAGGTCAGCCCAACAGTCGTGGTGGGACAGCTGGAGGAGTGACAAATCAACGCAATACATTGGCTGTGAAGGCAGAGACAGCCATTGGTGACCAGCTTCTTCCAGGTTCACACTTTAATTTCATTCACTGCTTTCGGAACCGAATAAACCCGACGAGTGGTTTTGGTTACATGTTTTTTTTTCAGGGCGTCATCCCTGTAAATGTCAGGCTCGAATCCATGCTCTTGTAAGAAATTGTATGGGTTGTGGAAAGATCGTTTGTGTACAGGAAGGTAGTGGACCATGCTTTTTCTGCGGCAATCTTGTCTGCACAAAGGAGGAAAAAGAGGTGATGATGCCAACTTTAGCAGGTCCGGAAGGTGGGCTTGGTCCCTGGTATCTCGATTCATACTGATCTTTTCGTCGACATACATTTCGATTAAGAAAGCAATTGCAGATCTTGGACCGCGGCTCTCGAAAAAGTGCTGAACTTTACTCACAATTAATGGGATTAAAGAAGGAGAAAAGGTGGTACCAACGAGTCCTCCCTCTCTGCTATAGGAGCTGAGTTCCAGAAAGCAACTCAATTCAGAAACAAGCTTCTCGCCGCAGACGCCGATTCGTAATACTTCCATTTCTTAATCAATTGTTAATTTTCTTAATCAAATGAATAGGCTGGGTTCACTGCAACTGCGAACGCTAACATCTTCTCAGTGGATCGGAATTCGTATAATTCATGCAAATTCGTGCGATGAGGCGGGATTTGACAGGCGCTAACTTTAGGTCTTTATCACATTGACGACTGCCGTTGCGCTACATCTCAGCACCTCTTTGTAATTTCTCATCATAAGTCGCTAATCTGGGCATAATTCCATTATTGGAATAGAAATATTGTTTTCTGGATCTATAATGTATATGGGAACTTCCGAAACACAAGTAGTATGGAATAGTTTGAACAGAATGATATTTTCCGCGTGAAGGTGGGGCCATATATGTTCCGCGTTGTCGCCATTGTGTTAAAATGTTCTACCAAATCTGTTTTGGTCATTCCTGTTTGCGGAGAGACAGAGGGTCCCATTTCGTTGTTTTTGATTTAGAGATGGGAACTAAAAGTGGCGGAGTATGTTAACAGTTATTTGATGAAGTAAGGCTTCTTGTACTCAAAGTTAGGATTTTTTCTGGTACGTGTTTTGAGGTTTCATAATAATGTCTGTCACTATTAAGGGAAAGGCGCACGAAAGTGAATGATTTGGAGAGCGATTACTCGAGCATCGAGAATAGCCCGTACTTGACAGCTGAAGTTGGTATCTCTGTCACTATTAAGTCATCTCTACCATTTTCGATGTTTTTACCAACGCTTTTCAAGGAACGTCACGCAATCATCCAACGCCGTTTGGAATTAGAAGAAATCAAACAGAGACGGAAGCGCAACATTGTTATCAATCTCAATGTCAAGGATATTACCGTTAGCGAAGGAGTAAGTCTTGCATCATAAATTTTTCTGTCAATGTTGCGTGTTAGTTTGGATACGGTATAGATCGAAGTCTTTGAATTTCTCAAACGTTCAGTGACTTTTAATATCCTTTGCCCCGCTAATGTTCTACATTTGTATCATCATCCTTATCATCCTATAATGTAGTTCAATGTAGGTACACAATACGGGCTCAGATCGAGCGTACGATCCAGTGATTGAATCCATCCTTGAAAAGTCAGAGGAAAGACGTCGCGCCGCAGACGCTGCTCAAAATTCGGCTGTGGACGCTCATTGGATTCCAAAAGGGTTTGTCCCTAAGGTTGGTATGCTGCCAGAGTATTGATGTCTTTGCACACCAAACCATAGTCGTTTTGCCTTCACCACTTGCACTGGATCAAAGTTTGTTTGTGTTAAGTGGGAGGTTTTCACGCGCATATCCGAATGCATGTGTGAGTTCTGTATGTTTTTTTTAAACATTTTCCCTAATGTTTCTCGCTCACTCAGAAAGTTTCTGCTTTATCTAGTAGTAATTGTTACTAAGGCAAAAGTTACAAAGGAGTTCCATGAAGAAACGCGAATTCCAAAAACATGCTGCTTCAAGTATGTGGTGATTCATTGATCAAAGCAACACGCTGATCAACTGAGCGGCATACAACTGATTAATAAATAAAAAATCAAATTCACTCATATATCGAAAGAAAGCAGCCCTGATGTGTTAGGTGTCAGTCAGTTCGAGGTCTGTACATTGTGCTGGTTTTGCGCAGGTTCTCTCTTGAAATTTCGCCGTGTGTGCTTCCCTCGTTCATTTGCATTAAAAAGGTGAACGGAAAGAATATGAAGTTGTTGATGCTATTACAAGTAACATTCTTCTGAGAATAAGAATATTTGTTCGTTATTAGTTCCTTGCAGTTCGCTCATACTATAGCAATCTTGGCGTTTTAGTATGATGAAAACGTCGGTTCTCGATTCGAATCAAATGTTAATGAATTTGCTGAAGTGGATGCACTATGTGTGATGAATGAGGAACTCGGAAGGCTCGAAGTTGAACGTCGAGGATATGCTATTTCGATTCCTCAGCCATGCGCATCTTTGGCCGCATGGGGTTTTGTCAAGTACGTTACTTGTTATTCTTGTCAGACTACTAGATTTTTTTATGAACTGTTTTGGGCTGTATGCAATATATTCTTAGAGTAGACCGTTCGGTCCGTTTCGTAATACTTCCTGAGTATTTGGCTAATCATCGATTTTCTCGAATTTTCGGTTTGAAACGTTTTACAATCAATAGCTTTTCTGTTGGTGGCCTCGGAGGGAAGCGACTGCAATAATGTGAATTGCACCAATATTGTTCAGGTATGTGAGATGGCCGGAAGATATTCACTTGAAAGGTCCAGTTTTCGTTTGCTCGACGGTGTCCTCAACAAGCAGCTCTGATGTGCAAAATTTTCTCGAAAAGTTCTGTGGTGGTTCGTTAATCTCTAATTTTTATGTGGTTATGGGTATGTGGACATAGGGTGTACGAGGTGAACGTATCTGACGGAAATACAGAAAAAGTCGAATCCTATGAGTGATTGACAAGGACGAATCCTCATTGTAGGCAACAATTCAGTACCCATTAAAGAGGATATCGATTACTTACGTTTGACTACCTTTACCATTTTCGATACAAAGCTTCAGTCCTTGAAAGGAAATCTCTCATCGTCACATGCATGCTCCAGGATCGTTCCTGTCCTTGTTTTGTATGGGTAACAATAATCATTTCACTGGGTCCTCCATGTTCAGATATGTTGTGAGCATTGTTATAAATGAAAAGTAAGTAGGGTTGGTGTAGGTTGTAAAAGTGCACACAGGTAGGCAAGTATCCATAGACGTAACCTTAGGTGCTTGGGATCCTCCCATTAAGCCATAAACCTTGGCCACGTCCCCATCTCTTGTCGATTTGTCTTCTGATAGAGTAGGGATGGTTGCAGTGGTTTGTACAAGACGGCTAAGATGCACCTCGGATGGAAAGTTCTCATTGATCAGTTCCCCTGCTCTCAGGAGGAAGTTTGAACTCCTTAAGTGGGAATCGTACAAAATGGTCAGTGCTTTATGTAAACCCCCTCCCCCTTCCCTGCTTTGTTGAAGCCTAGAATCTAATTCAAGACATTCAATCACGTTTAATGAAGAGATGGCTTCTTGCCGTTGTTCATTTCGTAAATGAATGCAGATAACTAGTCTTTAACAAAGCGTGGTTTGCTATGTAGGTGAAAATGAGTAATCACAACAGTCACGTAACGCCCACGGCAATAAAGTTTCAAAACTATTTTTCCGGGTTTCAAAATTCATTACCTCGAATACTCCTACTACATAGCCACAGCGACTTAACAGCCTTCCCAAGAAAGCCTGCAAATGGGGTCCGATCAGTTTTGAAGGCTTCAGATCCTCGCACTTGAGAGCAAAATCAGCCGAGCGAACGAGACCGATTATAACTATAGTACTGTTCTCCGCGTCGCAAAGTCTACCGCAGCGAGCGCTGCGAAATGACTGTTGGTGTATCAACGCTCCTGAGAAAGGTTTACTGATACTTGTTAAGATTTGAACGGCTTTGCAGTCCACGCATTGCTTTCTTTTGAAACGGAAATGATTTGCCGAAATATTTTGTGATGCGACTTACTGGTAGTTTGAGAATAAGGGTACGACTTCAGTATTTATTACAAAAAGCCGTTTCAAGAAAGTGTCCTTCAACAGCTCGAAAGTAGAAAGTTGCTGCATTACTTGAAGAGCAACGTGGGCAAGTGAGAATTTGCAAAAACAGAAGAAGTTTCTCAGGCGCGGTTCTCGATATTTTGCCCTCCCTAATTACTGTAAAAACAGTTTTTCAGTTTCAATTTTCTAGGATGTTCACCAAAGGAGCAAGTCGATTATTCACCCGCAAGCATCTTAGGACGTGTTTATGTTGAGGATTGCATCACTTTCACTGAATTCCAAAGAGAGGTACTTTTGTAGCCTGTTTATCACTATTACAGTTGCTGCGAAGGAAACCTGTTAGATAAGATATCTGCATGGTCGACATCACTTTTTTTTTATATTATACAGAACAGATGCAAGGCTCAGTCATGGGCCATACATTATATGTATACACCGACCGACAGGTTGAACGCATAGGCTCGGCACTTATGTCACGAGACAACCAGGGAACGAGAGACAAAACGTTTATGAGTTGCGCGGGCGGGAGGCACAGCGGCGCGAGGCTAATGCACGGAGCCAAGGTCGGGCGCACATCTAGATCTATCTAATTGTCCAGGAGAATAGCTACCGTCGGAGTCCGGCAGCTCGTTAGAGCGCAGTCAGCCGGGCGTCGGGGGTCTTGCGCGGGAGCAGGGGTTGAGTTTGCTTCCATTTGAATTAGTTACATGCGTAAACAGCTTGAGTAATGTTACCCTGGCTTCATCACATGAGCGAGCGTCTCTCGCTTTATAGAGAGAGAGCCAGCGCACGTATAGACAACCACGTTGATGCAGCAGCGCCGGAAAGTCGCAACGACAGACCTGATAGCCAAAGTTAGACGGCACCACGCCACACGATGCTAACAACAGAAATTATGAAGGCATGAACGCCTAGCGTAGTGAACACTGCGCAGTGTGTTGCTGCGACTAGAAGACATAAAGCGGGGAACAGTTCTCTTCCAGCGTATTGCAGTCTGAGGAAAGACATATTTGGTTCGAGAGACTTCCTATGGATCCTCAAGGTCTATCATCACTGAGTATTCGAAGTAAGTCATTGCTGTTTGAATCGCGTCATCACGTGGTCCTATCTCTCTCATGCATCTAGAACGGGAGATGCGAATGGTGAGGTTCCACTAAGCCTGAAAACTAGATTCCGCGGCTGAAACGAATAAATGCGACAGCGAAAAATTTGTACTGCTCTGAGTCTGGCGATGACACCACACAAACACACTGCAGCTCATAACAAAGAAGACTAAAAAACAAACCTTGTCGGCTACCACGGTCTGCAAGCCGATCGAAATACGGTGATTAGTTTATGGTTCAGTTGACATGTCCGTGTCAACGTATCACTGAAAGATCCAATATCGACTAGATAGAAGACAACGCATAGGAGTCGCGACTTGACCACCAGTACAAAGATCGTTTGACCTTACGCCAGTCGAGAGGATACAGACACGCTGCGACGACAACGTATGCCGCATTTTATGAAAGAGACATACAGATGCTGTCAAAATCTAGTGTCGAATGCTGAGATCATTAAAGACCATCGTAGTCACACATGATCCACATGTAGCGAGAACGCTAGTCAATTTGAAGGTACAATTATCGATCTAACTAGTATTTCGCCCTCACTCCACCGCTCTCTAGCGCATGCCGTAATGTGTTAATGTCAATGCAAAATTGAGCATTCTGTGAAGAGTTGTTCGATAGCGTATCTCTAATACTAAAGAGGAACTTCACTCTAGCAACATACTTATAGCTTGGAATGGCACATAGTAGATCCACTTTCGCCCCATCAACATCACCAGTGCCTGCTAGCACATAGTGTTTAAGAGATCATATATGCACCTACGATCGAGTTCATTAGTCAGGGCAATTATAACAAATATGACAGGGAAACGAGGACACTGTGTAGCGCGATGTATATTAGTATTATAAAATGCTAAAATCTCATGCTCAGTTAATAATCAACATATTAGCCTTGCGCTCCTGGAGCGCCGGGAGAACTGACTGAGAAGTGCACATCGCATCCGAGCGCGTCGTTGAGCGTGTACTATTCTAGGGCGGCTATAAAACTATGGATGTCCGAGGGTTGAATCCTTAACGAGATTCACATAGTGAACTAAAGTAGAGGGGGACTCGCTTTGGTGAGCGGTACAGCATGTTTGTGTATGCTCCCAGATCCGCGATCCGCGTAAGCCCAGGCGGCGAGCGGCTTCTTTTGCTGTGGGGAGGCGCGTGCGAGTCTCAGTAGCTTTTCCTCTTAATGTTCCATGCCCTGGCAATGTTAAGTTAAAATATAACCAGCCTAGCCTCGGTTATGCAAGCGATCGACTTACGCCTCGCCCGGCGATCATGAATTCTCTGCGCTCTGTCTCATAGTCGGAAGCCCGTAAAGGGTCACCGTTGCGCGATTCTGATGAGAGAGTCGAGCTCCCCTTTTATCAGATGCTCTTGGCTATCCAGGATCTATGAACGTACAATGAGAGCTCATGGTAAAAGCATATGATGATTCGTGGAGAGACGATCGCAGCGAATAGTATATCATGAAGTGCCCAAGGTGTTTGTCGCTTAGTTCTTGCCATAATCACCGAGGAAAACAACTTGTTTGTCGCACACTTCTTGTCGTAGTCATCGAGCAAAAACTTTCCGAATACCGTGTTTACGGCGTGTCGAATGGTGTTGTTTTTGTCGTATTCAAGGAGCATAGCCCTAGGCCGCCTCGTGAGCTTCTGTTTTTATAGTAAAAAGTCATGGAACGAGCTAACCAACAAATTATAATCGCATGACTGACGAATTCCTCCCTAGTGTTGATGCTGCGGGATGTGGAGCTGACATTGGAGCCGCGGTGCCATTAATAGAAGATGTCTTACCCCGAGATTATTCACCAGAAGACGATTATAACTTCTCATTGATATCTACGAGAATGCTCGAGAACCAGAAAGAGTCGTCGCTGGTCCTCAAAGTGAACGGATTCTCTCAAATTTATGTCAAGAACTTTTGCACTGGACCATTATTAATGTCATTGCACTCTTTATTTCTGCAAGGAACGTTTCCATTTACAGTGTTGCGAACCTGTTTATGGAGAAGGCGATTTCGTGTTGCAGTTTTCCGCCCACGAACCACTCACCGTCCCCGTACCTTATATTTCGAAAGGTCCTTTCTTCCAGTTGGAAAAGGAAATGCTTCGTGTTGTAGGGTCCATTTTCAATTAATTATACCAGTCTTTCTTGTTATTAAAAGGTAAATTTCGGGCTACTCCGAACGTTCTGCTTCATGTATGTGGTTTTGGATTACGGTGTGTCGCATGAATTGATAAGTAATGCTACTTTTTTATTGAATGTCGGCCCAGTAATGTTTCGACTGTTTGCTAGTTCCTAGTTCCGAACTGTGATATTGTGTGTTCTGGTGCCTTCTGCATAAATTCTTTCTTTATTCATGCATCGACTGTTCTCTGACGTTCTCATCCGTGAATATTTAAATTTGGTCTCTTGTCGTGTAATAATTTGATTTTTTTTCGTTAGATATGGCAGCGCGTGATCAGTTCCTTGGGCTTAATGAAGAAGAGGTGAGTGTCTTCTATTGTTTTGGTCTTTTAGCGTTCTTTTGGATCCCCTTACCCCATTTTTGTTGACTGAGTCACTGTGATTCTGGTGAACTCTTTAGGAGGCTGTGGCAAAGAATCTAGCAGCAAGAGTGCTTCTCTCGAGTGTCACGTATCCCCTCACATGCGTGAAAACGCTCAACCAGCTGGGACACGAGCCCTTCCCGTTGTCCACAGGAAAAACTCTCATCGTTGCTGGACGTAATGCCTACTTCCTTCCCAACGTGTTTAGCTATGGTGAGCATTTTTTTACTTAGATTTTTGGAATTTTGCTCGAGTGCCTGAATTATCGTATCCGCGAAACATGCCGCAATGTATTTTGTACATGTTCATTCTGTTCTTCTCTCTGGCTTTCTAGTTTGCCAACACTAATCTTCGTGGCGTATACCACGTTTGTAAATCATCTATTATTGTTAAGATTCAGAACATTTCTCGGCAAGCGCTTAGAGTGAATTGCAGCACTTTTTCGTAGGCTGTCAACCATTGCAGAGCGAGTCTATCACTTCTCACATCATGACGGCCACTAACTTTTGAAGGAAAGCAAACGCTGTTTGTTTGCGGTATAAAAATTTATTCTTACAATTTTGGGACGAAACGTTTGCAAAGCAGCAAAACGTAGCAATCATAGTGTTATGCTTTTTGTGATATGATAAAAATGCTTGCCGCGCAAACTGTGGGAAATCTTTTCTTTTCCATGATTACTAGTTGTTGTGGTTGAAAATGTAGCCTACGTAACGTAACAGTATAGATGACATCGTGGAAAGGCTCTTTTGGCTTTGTCCTGACAATAACCTGTGATGACTTCCTCCATCACTTACCTCTTAAATGATGATTTCATGTATACAACGTCGTCTTAAGAGCATGGTATCGCACCAGGAGCTCGTCTGAGCTCCTGGTGCGATATTTTGCTTCGCACGGATTATTAACCTTTCGGGCTAATCCTTTTCATTCGCCAGAAATGAAAGCTATTGTTAACATCCGTATATGTAAACGCTTTTCTGAAATCTCAAAATCAAAACATTTCCAACAACTATTGATTTACCTTTGTCAGTTTGCGAGTGATTGACTATAAGAGTTCCAAATCATGTGAACTATCAATATTTGCAGCTAACCAGATGGCACATGCTCGTGGATTGGGTGTGTTGTTTACCGGCATTGACTCAGCAATTTGTTCACTCATCGTTCAGGGAATTACTTCTTATAAAACGAAAAAGGTGAGATTATGTCAGTTTTGATTTTTGCTAGCAACTGCGATCTTTCTTTCTGCTTAATGATTCTTTTAGTACATCGACAAATACTACCCTGAGATTGGAGGCAAGCCAGAATTCGAGCACCTTGATGAAAAGGTGAATTTTTGTTTAAAAAAATGTACTGTTACAAGTTTGGGCAAGTACTCTATATCAGTATAACAGAAATACAAGTTTTCAGTAAGGCGGCTGTTTTCAGGATCTGACAGACCACCAGTCTTTCAAACGCCACTTGCGAGGCGCGATTCGCGAGTCTGTTGTTCGTGTCGTAACAGTTACGATTGCAAGACCATTGACGGGTACGCCATTCATTGATTTTATGAATAAGCTGGAAATGACTTTTTAATTCAAGTAGACTGTCTATTGCAGAAAAATTTAATCATGTCGAGTATTGGAATAGCTTACTTCTTTTCTTTGTCACCGCAATTTTTTCTTTGAGGTCCTTCTCTGGAGTTAGTATCCCATTAACCTATTGCGTAATCAGTGACACAAAGCGTGACTTGAAAGTTGGGACGGAATTATCGAAAAGGAAAATGTTATGGTCAGTAAAACAGTATTCAATATGAATGTGCTAGAATCATTTTGGACGCCATAGGTCGCTCAAGAGGAACTGGGAGTGAGGCTATTTGATTTCTTCAGCATTTTCTAGCGTATAATGAAATCATTTCTGAATGAGTGCTCAATGCCCAATGAGTGAGCAAATAGTAACTGATCCAAATATCTCAGTAACGAGTAACTGCGATTTTCTGTAATATTAGGTACCGGATATCTTAGTGTCGCTTTTCTGAGTTCAGGAAGTTTTGGGGCCGATTACTATGGAAAATCAATATCTCAGAAAGTCCTTTTTGCTCATTAATACTGCGAAATATGTTGCTTATTGTTTTCTATTGTTGGTTCACAATTTAACTTTCCCCAATTTTTATACTTTTTTTGAAAATTCCTGGGTCCAGTGTGCAAATTCGCATGTGTGTACCAAATGCTTCCAAATTCTTGATTCAAATTCTCTGCACCAGTCTTGGAATGGTAGGACACTTAGTAGTGACTGATCGATGATGCACAAACGCTTTAACGAAGTTGATTGCACAAGAAATTCTAATAAATGTGCTCATCTGCTACTCACGTGTGCTCAAAAAGGGTGCGTTTTTGACCCTATGTGGCAAAAAAGACTCCGGGAAAAATTGTCCAGTTGAGCTGGTAAGTTTTAACTTTTCCACCATACAGTGCAGACCCTACTCTAACTAACTGTATACTTCTTTTGTCCAGGCCTAACTTTTTAGCAAGTGAGAGGGATGATTTGTCAGATGATGTCAAAACCGACCTACCTCTCTTTTTCGACTCAAAAAATTCCTAGCTTTAATCGTACGAGGTTTCCACTCATACTGGTAAATGGGAAAGTGCTAATGAGTCATTCGATGAATATGCTGTTTCACTCCCCGGATTCTGAATTAAAATATTGGTGGTCCGAAACTCGTGGTGAAAAAACGACACTAAGATATCCGGTACCTAATACAATTTCGCCCTCTTCATGTCATGAGGCTTGCATTCTCCTGGTTGCAGCAGGTGAATTAGACGCATGCTCACATTAATTTGAAGAAATTTATAAAAAATTTATTTATAAAATTGAAGCTGTTTGGTTGTCCCATTGCATTCCTACGATCGAAAACTGGTCTCAGAGGCTGAAACTAATACTTGGAGCTTTTTTTTTCAAACATTTTCCCAGTTTTTTTTTGGAATGGACTGCTGAGGTTATTATTCATTGTTGTTATGTGCCCTCAACACAAAATAAGCTTCCGCAAATGCGAAAACTTGAATCATCAAAGTCACAATGGCGTAAATTGAAAACTTAGTTCGTTCTGCGACGGAAAGCGACCCGCAACTAAATAACACCTCGACCATAGCAAGAATGCCAATCATAATATGGGCTATAACTCAAATGGGAATTTCTAGTGGTAATGATTCGCCAGATTGCTCAACTCATTGGCAACGAGACAAAGTATGGCGGCGTTTTCTCAAGTGTTCGCCTAATTGGCTTAGAAGAGGGTCCTGCTGGCTTATTCAGGTACGGATTATCTTGGCACTTTTCAGCGTCACATTTTAATCGCTCCGTTTAGTGGACTTGTGCCGCAGATATCTGGTGAAATCCTGGTCGTGTTTGGTAGCGCTGCTCTTTTGTTCGCTGCTGAACGAGCTATTGTGATGTCAGGAATGTACCAGAAGAAGGGAGAAAAGAGTGCCAAGGTGCGCTGTTTCATTGTGCAGATTTCTTCAGAAAAATAGAGCCGGTTATTTCTCACTTTGGAATTGTTTAGGAAGTCGAGGATCTACGTAAGTTCTCGAACTTCGCGATTCCTTTCGTGATGAACTCGTTTGGATATCCATACCAAGTTGTCAGTACTGTTATGGCTGTCGTCGGATCAGGTTAGCCTTCCTCTTTAATCCGTAGATCCTTTGCTCAATGAAATTGCTATCGTTGAAGGGCTTGCTGTATCCTTCCTTCCATATGCGCCATCGTTTGTGGACTGGCATTCGGCATGGGACTACCTCACACCTCACGGCTTGAAACGAGGATCACGCATGTTCCTTCGTGAACAAGCTGGAGCTGTTTCCGTTGGACCAGACCAACAACTATACGCGAGTACCAAGCATTTTGTTAGCGCGTAGGTTATTCGATCAGGCGTCGTTAGCGGATCCACACGTTGAGGTGCATATTGAGGAGAATCGAATCGAATCTACATGATATCAGTTCTTCGTAGGGCACCGAATTCACATAATTTTTAGCATTTCTTCATCGTAGTTTCCTTTTTTAGGCTAGGTCACCTAAGTGCAGTGGCTGTTGCCTTTCCTGTAGTTTTTGTTGTATTTACCTAGGATGTGACTTTACTTTTTTTATTACTAAGTCACCAATTTGTAGTGTTACTTGTTTAAACCCAAATGTGTATAAAAGACATGCAGTGATATGTTGTAGCGAGCATACAGACTTCAAATTTGTAGTTGTTTTTGAGAAGGTAGAGTACTTGGATACGTCATTTGTTTCGCCGACTGGTTAAGTCCTTCCTTCTTAATTTCTACAATTCTCTCTAAAAGAACGGCATGTGTCCGTTTTTACATTTATCAAGCGAAAGTTTGCATGCCTCAACCACCACAAACTGTTTCTTAACACGTTGACGACATCGCATGTTTTGGCATTTTGCACCTCGTGGGACAGGAGCGATTTTGCGACCGCGCCGTCCTCACCTTACTTACGCTTATTTTTTGTTAAAAATGCACAATAACTGAA